GAATTCTCTTCCAAACCCCATTTATAAAAGTGGGAAGAAGAGTAGCAAATACTATCTATTGAGCACTTATGTGCACAGTTGTGATTTCACAAGGGCGCCAACACATCTAAGGGGGTGTGGTTCACATTGTAGACATCATTATTTGCATATTTATTAAGAAAATTTTCCAGCAGATGGCAGTAAAGTGTCTTGCTCAAACAAAAATAGAATATTACAACTTCTACCAAATGGAAGTAGTGTCTTAAGGACTGTATACCTTTATCTATGTACATAAAGATTTCATATAGACTAGTGGTGGCACTGCTTACTATGTGTCAGGGCCTATGCTCACTCACCCTTGCTTAATCCTCAGGATCCAATGAAATGGGTGCTCTTAATAACCAGCCAAAAGCCACTGAGTCAGGTTGTAGTAATTTTGAGATTCCAATGTCTCTAACTCTAGAGTCTGTCCTCTTGCGCTAAGCGATAATATTTCAGAAAACTAGGGCCTGGGGATTTAAGGAGACTTGTTGCCTGTTCTACTGTGTGTAGTCCTGGATGCCATTAAGGACTAAAGAGCAGGACACATATCACTCATCCCAGAAAAAGGTCATACTTGAATTAGCAAAGAAAAAAATGGGAGAATGATGACATTCTCTTTGGCATTATAATTACATTTGTATGATTTAAACTATATATGCTACAGAAATTTAAAAAACAGAGAACCCAATATAGATTATAATAGTTCTCAAATAATTGAAATTTTTATATCAAAAATACATTAGTACAATTAGTAATGCATGTTTATTCAAATATTTTAATAAGACTACATTACCACAAATTCTATATGCATGTGAAAAGCTTTTTAAAATGTATATCTATATCAAATCATCTTGCAGATGATAGATTATTCATATAATATTCTTAATCTAATGCTGTAAAACTGATAAGCCATAAATAGCACTCAGTTTAAAATCTCTATAGCAAATACTAGTCAATCATTAATAAAAGCAAGCCATTTATACATATTTTATATAAATCCCTATTTTATCATTGAGGAGACCCTAAACCCACTTAAAAAAAAAAAAGTGAAAACTCCATCTTCTGTGAAACAAACTGCTATAACTTTCGCTTTTTATTTTAAAATAACAGGTATAGCATGAATACACTTTTCTAAAAAAATTTCTATCTGCCCTAACCGGTTTGGCTCAGTGGATAGAGTGTCAGCCTGTGGACTGAAAGGTCCCAGGTTCGATTCCGGTCAAGGACATGTACCTTGGTTGTGGACACATCCCCAGTAGGAGGTGTGCAGGAGGCAGCTGATCGATGTGTCTCTCTCATCGATGTTTCTAACTCTATCCCTCTCCCTTCCTCTCTGTAAAAAATCAATAAAATATATTAAAAAAATTTTTTTCTATCTGAGCAAAGTCCCAAAGAAGAACTTGAGATTATATTAACTTGTTAATGACAATTATTTTCTAGGATGTTGATTTGGAGTGCTGATTTTGCTTTTTTATTTATCCTTTCATATATCCTAATTTTTTAAAAAAAACGTACTGATTTTTATAAACAATAAAACTCATCATTCTTTAAAGCAATTATCAGTGAATATGTGTCTAACTTTATGGCCTACCTAGACCTCTTAAAAACAAAAGTATTTATATTATTAGAAAAATAATTTTATAGACAAATCAAATTTTGAAAGTCTAAAGTGCCTTAAACAACTGATAAATGCAATAGTTATAGTTAAGACTGTCATTTGATCTGTTTAATCTCTGAAACAGAATAGCTACAAATCAATATTTTCTAAACAGTGAATTTTGTGGCCACATAAGCCAGAGTATACACAAGCCACAAAATTTGCTAGCACCTAGCTTAATCAAAGGGCTGGCAATTTGAAAATACAACACATAAATCCTTCATTCTTTCAAGGTCAGTTTCTAAACTTGACATCTTGGGTTGGAGATAGCTTCACCCAGGAATTTAAGGTCAGGGTTTATGAACTTAAGAAAAGGGCTGACGATTTGAAAACATAACAGACAAATCCTTCATTCTTTCAAGGTTAGTTTTTAAACTTGATATCTTGGATGGGAGATGGCCTCACCCAGGAATTTAAGGTCATGGTTTATGTTAAGCAGGACCTCAAATCAAGTTTAGAAACAAGCAAATCTTTAATCCTTTCGTTAAGCGGGTAGTGTGAGAGGGAAAGGTTAGCAAAACAGGTCAACCTCCTGTAAATATAAGGTTGTCATTTGTTTTTTATACTAAATGAAATATTCCTGATTTGTGCTCAGAGTCTTGTGCATATTTTACTCCCTGTGTCCAGGCAAATGTGTTTATATTAGAAAACTCCATGAGGGCAGGAAATGTAGCTTTTCTTTATCGTAAATCACCTGGTATAAACTCCGCTTATCTAAGAGTATGGGACCTTGTCTGCCAATTGCTTTATCTTTGCTCCAAATGAGTAATCTGTCTTTGACTGTCATTGCCTATATTGGCTTACACAGAATGGGACAGTTTACAAAATTGTTATATGCACCATTGCAGATTATTTTCACTCGCATCTTATCAGTAAGCTGAGCGAGTATTATCGCCCTTACTACTTAACAAATATGACTAGAACTCAGATTTTCAACATCTCTTTCAGGCACCACTGATAGGCATTTATTTTCACAACAGGAGAACTGAATGAATAATGGTCAACCAATGATAAGATTCAACCAATTCTATTCCCGAAGTCCTAAATATAAATTGTTCAGCTAAATGAGATATCCTAATAATAGCTGAATTTTAAATAAACTGCAGGGGGAGGAGGAACAGTGGGGATAAGGGTTGGTCTGCCCAGAGAATTGGAATTGTCAAAATTCAAATTGAGTTAAAATATCAAAGAATGTCGTCAATGAGAGACACTATTTTTGCTCTAGCACAAATAAAAAAGAAAAAGTCTCAGAGTGTTCTGTGCTTTAAGTGTTTTTTGTTAGGAAGCATTTCATAGTATAAATTTTCCAAATTGCATATGATTGACTTGTAGCACCCATCCATACATTATTAAATATTTATTACTTTCTTAGTTTAATTCTCTTTGATGAGTATGAAATAATGTGTGAAATGAAAACCTTCAAGTACAACATACAATGGCAAGAAATACATAATAGCAAATTCACTAATCCCATAACATTAGAGGAGGTTTTATAGTATATAGACCAGTTTATTCATTACCAATGTGGTTATCTAAGAAAAACATTTCTTAATGTAAAAAAGATGAAAACTACCTTTATTTTTTCAGATTCTTTTTGTTGTTGTTGTTAATCCTCACCCGAGGATATTTTTCCATTGACTTTTAGGGAGAGTGGAAGAGAGAGGAAAAGACAGAAATATTGATGTGAGAGAAACACACCACTTGGTTGCCTCCTGCACGTGCCCAAACCAGAGCCCAGGTCGGGAAAAAGCCTACAACCAAGGTACGTGCCCTTGACCAGAATCAAACCCAGGACCCTTTGGTCTGTAGGCCAACGCTCTATCCACTGAACCAAACCAGCTAGGGCTATTTTCTCAGTTTCTTAAAAGGCTCATAAGGCAAGCAGGCAGATAGGAAAGAGGAACAAAAGCTACAAAATTGGGGATAAAAATTAAAATTTTCTATGCAATAAGTCAAAGAAATTATTACAAGGAAACAAAATAGGTGTAAAGAGATATTAAAAAATCAACTGCAAGCAATCCTTGGCTGACATAAGAAAAAAGAAATGGACAATCTTGGATATAATGATGTTTAAAAGATGCAAAAAGCTATGCACTGTGAAGAAATGATGACAGAGATGGAGCTAGAAAATACCAAAAAGAAATGGGTAGGTTCCTTTTGAGAAGGAATAAAAAGAGTCTGAGAAGAAACCTGAAAGCCAGCCAGATTGGAAATACTGTGGCCTAGGTGCTCCCAGGTTATCATCTACTCCTTTCCAGTCTTCTAGGGGAGATCACTGTAAAGACTGTCCCTTTAGATAAAAACACACACACATGCCAACTAACCAAGATTCCTAAATCTCATCACATATTCCCTGAGGTGAGAAGCACACTTGACAGGGAAAATGAAAGGGACAATTCTAATGCTGTTTTTACTGAAATTTTTATTGAAACCCCCTGTCACCCCATTTTAGCTCCCTAAGTAAAGAAGATGCATGTAAAGTCTAAGCCTGATGGTGTTCTTTCCAAATTTTGTCTTAAATCTCTGAAAACATTACTTTTTAAACTTGGGAAAGTGAAGCTAGAACAAAGGAATACTGATTACCCATTTTGCATGCCTGCTTTCTTGTTTATTCATGAGCAGAGCTAGACTAAGAAACCTTTCCATGAAAATGGAAAGCATGTCTGCAGTAGCATAATGCTTAATGTTGCCCTTCTATCCTTTCCAGCCAGGAAAGATAAGAAACAGTTTAGGTAGCGTAAGAAAAGAGCTTAGAAAACTTGGGATGAAAAGGAGTGTCCTAAGTTCTTAAGGTCATCTATGACAGGTTATTCACAGAGTCTATGTGTTCACTTAATGCATTTCTTTCACCAACATTAGAATCTCTGTACTTCTGTCATCAGTTTCCTCTTTCAACAATTTCCCTTCTATAACCTGCTGTGGAATTTGCAAGGCCAGTTTTCTTTGCCTATGCCTATGAAGAATTGGTTAAAATAAGTACGAAATTTTTAATACCATCTTCTTATGTACCTAGTTGGAGGTGTGTGTGTGTGTGGGGGGGGGGCGTTAATAGAATAATAACAAATGCCTTAAAATACTTTGTCTTTTTAAATCTACCTTTAGAGTAAATCCTGTGTAAATTACTATGAACAGCTTCTCATATACTTAAGCCACTAATTTTTAAAGTATTACATAAATTTAGGAAATATTATCTAAATATATTTTACATTGAATAAATTTAGAATGTACTTACTTTAAATATTTAGAAAGAACTTTATTTATCAACTGTTATTCATAACTATTTTTGCTGTGAATTCGAGTATAAAAACGTAACTTTGCTTACTTGTTAAGTGGTTGATAGCTGTTCACTCTGCAAAAGTGTATCTAAATATCCAGGTGAAAAATACCTGAAAAATGGAATTTTTTATTAGACACTGGTTAAAAGATTCAATCCAGTAAGCACAAAAGATTCAATATAAGGTATTTTAACTGAAATAATTCTATGAATGAAACCTCTGAATAATTATGCTCCAATAATGTTTTGTACACAAGGTTAGTGACTATCAAGAAAAAGAACAACAAAAAAAAGAAAAAGAAAAAGAACAGCCCTAACTGTTCTTTTCAGTGGAGAGAGCATTGGCCTGCGGACTGAAGGGTCCCAGGTTCAATTCTGGTCAAGGGCATGTACCTTGGTTGCAGGCACATCCCTAGTGGGAGGTGTGCATGAGGCAGCTGATCGATGTGTCTCTCTCATCGATGTTTCTAACTCTATCCCTCTCCCTTCCTCTCTGTAAAAAATCAATAAAATTTAAAAAAAAGAAAAACAAAAAAAACTCACAAGACTGCTAGGTAAATAACAAAACACTTAAGGGCTATCAATGCAGTGACAAAGAATGGATATTTTCAAAGCAAGACACTTGGATCCAGTGATAGTATTTCATTAAAATGACTTTGTTTTTATTTATATTTATTTTTATTTAAAAAATTTTAATCCTCACGCAAGGACATGCTTTTATTGATTTGAAAGAAAGGAGAGAGAGATACTTCCCTGACTATAATTAAATCCGATACCTTTTGGTATATAGGACAATGCTCCAACCAACTGAACCACAGCAACCCAACTAGGGTGAAAGCGACTTTGTTTTTATTATGTCAAGTGACTAATGTTGCTTTAAATGAACATAGCTAATAGATTTTTTCATAAGTTGATATAACACACTAATCAACTTCTGATTGTTTTAGAGATTATTTTCAACATATGTTTTAATCAGGTATAATCACCCATAAAAACAAAAATTTCTGGGAGCATATTTCATATTAAAGAACTATTTCATATATGGTTTACAAATATTCCATCATACAAACCTAGGAAATTAATTGATTTCATTTTTCTTGGGCATCTATAAATTTATATTTATATAGAACATTTTATGAAACATTTAGTATAAAAATATTAAATATATTGATCAATACATTGTGGGAGGGCGCCGCTGGGAAGCGACCTGAGAGGATGGAGCCGTGCTGAGGTCCTCGGAGAACATTGTGGACAAGAACGTGCTTCTCCGGCTCAGGGTGCATGGCCGTGAGCAACCAGGACCGGCAGGACATCGCTTCCCGAGCAATCCATTCCACCTGAGCAGCGCAGGGCGAGCGGCCATGTACTTATCTGCCCCACCTGCCCTGCGCACTGCCCCTCCCCAGACGAGGTATCGGTGAGGAGGAAAGGATGCCAGCCACACGGGTGAAGCCCAAGTCCAGGGCGGCAGTGACGTTCGGGTACCTGGCCATCTACTTCTCCCAGGAGGAGTGGGAGAGGCTGAGCCCACGCAGAGAGGTCTGTGCAAGGACGTCATGTTGGAGAACTACCAGACCCTGGTCTCTCTCGGACTGTCCTGTCGGAAGCCAAAATGTGATCGCCTGTTGGAGAAAGGGAAAGCACCCTGGATGGAGAGATTCGTGAGAAGACACCGTGGCCTGGGAGGCTGCAAGGACAACAGACGTTCAGGTGGGCATGGAGGCAGGTCCCTCAGCAGAAAATGTCTAAAGAGCAATGTACCTCTAAAGCTGAAAGAAGGCCGCCTCGGTGACGGAATTTATCTGAAGAGCAACTATTGGCACAATGTAGATCTGCAGCCGAAAGAAGACTGCGTTATCCACAGAAAATGTCTGAAGAGCAACGTGCCTCTGAAGTTGAAAAAAGGCGGCATCAGGGACAGAATGTATCTAAAGGGGAACTGTTAGCACAATGTACCTCATTAAAAATGAGGCTACACGTCCAATCGTTTCTCAAAAAAATGAGCAGGTTCAAAAATTAAATGAAGAAATTTTGGATATTCTCGATGGAGATTTTCACTCATATTTGAGTGATGATTCCATTGATTCAACAGATGATGCTGAAAAGGAAAATTTTCCCATCGAATTTCTTAATAGTATTACTTCTACGGGAATGCCGTGTCATAAATTAAAATTGAAAGTGGGTGCAATCATCATGCTACTGAGAAATCTTAATAGTAAATGGAGTCTTTGTAATGGTCCTTGATTTATTATCAAAAGATTGTGACCTAACATAATTGAAGCAGAAGTATTAACAGGATCTGTGGAAGGAGAGGTTGGTCTGATTCCAATAATTGGTTGTCCCCGTCTGACACTGGTCTCCCATTTAAATTAATTCGACAACAGTTTCCCGTGATGCCAGCATTTGCGATGACTATTAATAAATCACAAGGACAAACTCTAGACAGAGTAGGAATATTCCTACCTGAACCTGTTTTCGCACATGGTCAGTTATACGTTGCTTTCTCTCGAGTTCAAAGAGCGTGTGACGTTAAAGTTCTAAATACTTCAGCACAAGGGAAATTAGTCAAGCACTCTTGAAAGTGTTTTTACTCTTAATGTGGTATACAGGGAGATATTAGAATAAGTTTAATCAATTTATCAGTTATTGTTTGTATCAGTGTTATTTTTCTATCATGTTTTTGACGTTTTTAGATCATGTCTTTGTTTTCATATCATGTTATTGTTTTTATATCATGTCTTGTTATATCATGTTATTGTTTATTAATAAATTTATATATTATTTTCAAAAAAATTCATTGTGGGATACTTTATATACCATGGAAAGAATTTACATGCATATAAAAATATGTTAAGTAAAATTTGCAGGCATTCTTGAATATAATAAATGACTAAAAAATCTAAATCATAATTTAAAAAGTTCTAAAACACTTAAAATAAATAAGTCTCCTAAGGAGTTTTCTCCAGATAAAACCTTATGTTCAAGATTTGCTTTGTCTTTTGTTAGTTATCTTTATCCTTAGATGCTTGACTTAAAAACTCATAATTCAGAGTATACTAATTTCTTCCACAATTTGTCAAGTTACAGTGGATGAAATAGAGCTATATTTTCTCAATAGTGTGCTTTTATAGGTAGCCATAGTTAAACAGATACATACAAACATAAAACGCTACCTTAAAGAATGCTTTTTCTTTTTCTTTTTCTTTTTTTTTCTTTTTTAAAATATATTTTATTGATTTTTTACAGAGAGGAAGGGAGAGAGACAGAGAGTCAGAAACATCGATGAGAGAGAAACATCGATCAGCTGCCTCCTGCACATCTCCCACTGGGGATATGCCCGCAACCCAGGTACATGCCCCTGACCGGAATCGAACCCGGGACCTCTCAGTCCACAGGCCGACGCTCCATCCACTGAGCCAAACCGGCTTCGGCAAGAATGCTTTTTCTTTAAAGGCCTCCTACTCTGGAAAAAATTGTTCTTCAACAGTAGATCTCTTCAAAGTATTCATACACTGAGGAAATTCACAACTGCTTCTCTGTCTGAGTCACAACTTTTTAAAAAATATATATTTCTTTATTGATTTCAGAGAGGAAGGGAGAAGGAGAGAGAGATGGAAACATCAATGATGAGAATCATTGATCGGCTGCCTCCTGCACGCCCCCTACTGGGGATCAAGCCCGCAACCCAGGTATGTGCCCTAGGCTGAAATCGAACCCGGGACCCCTCAGTCTGCAGGCTGACGCTCTATCCACTGAGCCAAGTCGGCTAAGGCAGTCACAACATTCAAAGTAGGCTTCACCTTCCCCTAGGCCTTGGTATGTCAAATGCAAGATAGGTATTTTTAATGTAAATAGCAAGAAATAGATTAAAAAATAAAACCCAAACTTTAAAAATTTTGCTGCTAGCCCTGTCTGGTTTGGCTCAGTGGATAGAGCATCGGCCTGTGGACTGAAAGGTCCCAGGTTCTATTCCAGTCAAGGGCATGTACCTTGGTTGCGGGCACATCCCCAGTGGGGGGTGTGCAGGAGGCAGCTGATAGATGTTTCTCTCTCATTGATGTTTCTAACTCTCAATCCCTCTCCCTTCCTCTCTGTAAAAAATCAATAAAAAATATATTTAAAAAATTTTGCTGCTATATTGTAGCTGCTACCCCCATAGTCTTTATTAAAAAATCAAAATGAACCTCCAAAAAAGAACAGGAAATTCCTTTTCTCTGCCCGTCAACCACTGCTATCCCCATTTATGGCCTTTAAAAATATAAGTGAATTAATTTTACCCTAGACCCATGCAGAATTTGGGTTATTATACAGTTACCATCTCAGAAAGGTGCAGAATGGAAGACTGTATGCATGCCTCTCTCCCCAAATTAGATGATTCCTAAAAGCATCTTCACTTCCCCTGTTCAGGCAGAGATCCAGAAGACAAAAGAGTTTCAAAAATATCTCTGGCTGTGGTGTGGACAAGGAATAGATCTTAAATATTCTAACATCTAGTCCTGGGTCTCTTCCCTCTCACCAACTATCTTTATTAGGAATTGTTTATTTGTTTGTTTACTAGAGGCCCGATGCACAAAATTCATGCAAGGGGCTCAGCCCTCGCAGCCACAGTGGCTTGCCTAGGCTCTCACAGCCCTGGCTTCGTCCAGAAGATCATCTAGAAGGATGTCCAGAAGGTTGTTCGGCTGTCCGGTCTAATTAGCATATTATGCTTTTATTACTATAGATTTATTTATTTTTAGAGAGAGACAGGAAGGGGAGAGAGAAAGAAAGAGGAACATCGATTTATTGTTCCATTTATTTATGCATTCATTGGTTGATTCTTGTATGTGCCCTTACCAGGGATTAAGCTTGAAACCTTGGCATATCAGGATGACACTCTAACCAACTGAGCTACTTGGCAAAGGCCTTTTAGAAATTTTTAAAAATTACTAAAATTGAAAGGCAATATAAAGTAAATATTTTAGCTAATAAGAGCAGAGAGAATATAACCATTGATAATCTGTTTTATAAAGTATAATTCTAAAATAGTCACCAAGTGATTGTTGAAAATTATATGTTTGCAAAAATAAACCATTTTAATATTATATTTGTTTCTTTTCAGAGACAAATTTT